AACGATTGATTAACGATTTCCGAATTGCTAAATCACAGAGATCAAACGAAGAATTACGTTTTCAGTTGCGGAAAGGTTGAATCAGAACAATTGAGTCAATAAAATGAAAACGATAATAAGATTCTTCAATCAATTTGTCGATTCCTGATTTGATACCAATTGAAGTGTTGTATAATCAATCAAATATGTAAATCAGAGTTAAAATGAACACAAAGATGTAAATATAATATGGTTTCAACTCAGTTAATCTGGAATTGATACAAATACATTTGTGAGAGAGTTTAAGCTCAGAATGACAAAAGTTACAAATGACACAAGTACCTACACTATTATAGTGTACTCAACAAGATGCAAAAAAGTATATCAGGACTTTGACATGGAAAGAGAAACAATATAAATGTCTGATAAAATACATATAGAATCGTAGTTATACAAACCTTCGATTATGACAAACTTTGACTACTACCTAAGACTTTGATATATCACAACATATTTGACTCTACAGAACATAAAGCGTACATATATTCTTCCATAGCTAAAAGCCATCGATGATTTTTAGTTGTCAATTTAAATCATATTGGTTATTTATTTGCAAAAATAACATGAAAAGGCCTATTTGACCAAGTCGTGCAAAACCTATAAATTGTATGGGTTAAAAATTCCTATTATGGGATCAAATTACCACACCGAAGATAGGGTTTGATTTGACGATGTCGTAGTTTGTACTGTAGCTGCGGGCGAGTGGTAGGATGCGAGCTCGTTTCGAATAGGTATGGCTCCCATTTGGAAGGGTCGAATGAGGGGCAAAAAAGGGGTAACTGAAGGGTGAGGGGAATTACTCGGTTGAAATTCAGGTGCTTTCCTGGTCAGTTTTTGTGATGAAATGAAAGATGCGACTTCTTTAGAATTTGTAAACAACAATTTGGAAAGATCAATGGGAGGAAGTACTCTAGTTAAAGGAAACGTCAATTCATAAAATGACATGTGTCTATTGGTGTAAATGCGATTTGGTGAAGGACTTAGACTATAATAGCCCTTATATTGAGGTATACATCCGATGAATATGCAAGAAATGCTCCAATGGGGTAAATTGTTAGTCGAATAGTCACGCAAATAAGAAAATACTTGACACTAGAAATTTTGGAAGATGTCATAGTTTGGCCAAGTGTTGAAAATTATTTCAAAAGGAATTTTGTGTTGTAATACCTTTGTTGGAAGTCGGTTGATGATATAAGCCGTCGGGATGAAAGAATCAACCCATGGAGAAGCATTCGCCTGTAAATTAAAGAGCATGGTGAGTCCGATTCTGGTGATATAACTGTGTTTCCGTTTGCTGCGACCATTTTTCTACCGAGTATAGGGACAAGATATCTGGTGACATGTCCCATTTTCCATAAAAATGTTACAAACACAATTGTTTAGGAATTTTGTGCCAACATATATTGCAAGAAAACTTTGTTTATTGCCACCTCTCACTTTGGAATGATTTACCTTGCAAGAACACTTCGTTTAAAAGAAAGTCTAAGAACAAAATCAACATATTATAAAAGATGATTTTATCTTTAGCCGGTAAAACCATATCAATCATGAGTAGTCGTCAACAAAAATAACATAATAAGACAACAAAAATAACATAATAAGAATAGCCTTCCATAAATGAAATAGGTGATGGTCCTTATAAACCACAATGAATTAAGTGAAGCACATGAAATGAATGTTTTGAATTAGGTTTGAAAGGGTAATTATTTTCTTTTAGAAGGCTAATAAGATGAACAAATAATATGTTTATGTAAACCACACATATCAGAAAAATGGCCACACTTTTATAGTAAAGAAATAATATCAAACACAATGTGTCCCAATCTTGTGTGTTTAACTCATAAGAGGTTTGAAGTCGTGTTGGCTTCAAAGCTGCCATAAAAGCTGTTCTTCTTGCTTGAACACATATATTTTGCTTTTCGCATTTGCCCCTTGCTAAGGCCTAGGATTTCCTTTATGATGATTCATTTATGAATGGAAAAAATGGATTAGAAAATAAAATAGCTATTGGATAATTCTTTGCTAATTTGCTGGTTTCGCTAATCGAGAAAAGATTCTTGGTAATGTGAAGAATCACAAGCTCATCCAAAAATTGAATATCTTTCGATAGAGAAAATATACTCTATTAATACATTTGGTCACTTTATTCCTTTTTGTACACTCTACTACTCCCTTAATACATTTGGTCATCTTATTCTTTTTTTTACACCTTTTACCATTAACTCACCTTTGTTTTAACAAAATACCATTTTGACTGGTCAGTGTAAGTTTAACCGATTTCCAACTAGACTCCAGTCATCTAAGGGGTTGTTTGGTTTGCTGGAATTCTCTGGAATGTGGGGGATTTGGAATCATATTCCATCCGATTCCTATGTTTGGTTCAAATTTTGCAAAGGAATTGGAATCCTAAATGAAAAAAATCCATCAATGGGGGAAAGCTCATTCTTTCAAGAGGGGGAACGAATTAACTCCAACTCGTGAGGGAAAGTGAAAGATTACCAAATTACCCTTGTTCCTGTTAACACTTCATCTAAACCCATATTTGCAAAAAAAACATTAAACCCTCATTTACCAAGCCTACGCATTCTCCACCTTTTTTCCTTTCTCACGTCGTTGGTCCGCGGTTCCTCCGATAAGAGCTTCCCTAATCACAGGTGCACGAGTCTCTTTCTCTCCCCCTACAAACGTTGCTGTATTAAGCCGAAAATGTGAAAAAAAATTATGTATCTTTCTCTTAAATCATGACTATAAAAATCTAATAAAAATGTTGAGTGAGTTATTATTATTATTATTATTATTATTATTATTTTATTTTATTTTTTTTATCCTGCAAAATGGCTACTATGAAAATATTTATCATTCAAGTAATTTGTACTGGCACCGAGTTGCTGGGATTGAGAAAGCATGCTGATTCATTCAATATTTCAAGCAATAACGAATAATTGTTGATTTCAAGTTAGTTGTTAGTTGTTATATTTATTATTGTTTTTTGTCACACCCAGAAGAGTATGTATTGCAACTTGCCACTAATTTCAAGTAATTAATTTATACACATTTGTTATACTCTTTAGTCTGTACTCATGTCTGTATCAGATTGTCCTGACTGTTCTGAATCATTTGTTATACTTTGTAGTCTGTAAGCATGTGTGTATTATTTGTTATAGTATATATATAGTCTCTACTCAAGTAAGTAATTAATTTCTACAAGGTAGTAGGTGATCTCTTGATTGTTCTAAATCATATTGTCCAAAATCAGAATTTCTATTGTAACAAGTTAGTTGATCTCTTGACTGTTATGATCAATTTGTACGATTTTCGTAATATAAATATTGGCATGATTACTCAATCAATAAAATGAAAATTTACTATAATTATAATTTATATAATCTATATTTACATATAACTTATTATGAAACAAAGTAAACACAAGCAATAAAAAATAAAAATAAATATAAAAAACTAAAAAAAAAAACCTAGAAAATAATTATGCCATTTTTACATTATTCAAATTCCATTTCTGTCAACCAAACAGAATATCGAAACTTAGAAAACCATTTCTCTTGAAAATCAAACGTTCTTGAACACATGATATCTGGAAACGTCGTTGAAAACACACACACATAGTTTCTTGATATCTTAAACACAGACATACATGATTTCTTGGTTTGTTTTAGGCTCAAAAAAATCAAAGATGCCGACTCAAAACAATTCCTTGGTTTGTTCTTGAACAAACGTACACATGATTTATGGAAATAATTTTTGGGTTTGTTTTGGCCGAAGGAAAACTCATCAGAGGTACTATGGTAGCCGGAGATGCCAACTTAATCTCCTCTAATAAATGAATGTTTTTTTTGCCACATGTCACACTCATTCAATTTGCCAAATGTCATTTTGTGGTTATTTTGAATTAATTTCTTTTCCACATGTCATTTTATGGGTTTTTCTATTTTAATAAATTCCACATAATACTTTAATGTAATAATTACAATAAATGTATATCAATTTCATTAATGGACTTACCTTCTTATTTTAAAATTCCAAAATTAAAGCTCATTAGTTTATTTTGTTTATTTATTTAAATTTAAAAGATAAAAAAATCAATTTTAATAATTCATAATTTTTATTATTTTTTTATAAATCCAAAGTTCTTAAATATTTAGACATTATATTTAATTTTTTAATTAACTCATGTAATACATGGGTCTTACACCTAGTTATATGGTAAATAATCATTAACCTATAATACCAGGCCATCTTTGTATTTTTTTTTAACGCAATAAGAGAGTTCAATGCTAAATCGAATTAAAAAAAAAACATTGGCTAAATGTATACTTTCTTTCCTACATATCTTCCTACTCATTTAAAATGATGACATGTGTACTAAAATATCATTAATCTTATCAAAATATGACACATGTCATCATTTTACATGAATAGGAAGATAAGTAGGAAGAAAATGTAGAAGGATATTTAATTTCTCATGTATAAATGAGGCATAATACATTACCCTTTCTGGTAATCAACCCTATAAATAGTACTATCCACTAATTAAGACTTGGAATAAGATATTTTGTTACAATTTCTAGCCTATTAACAACTGATCATTAGCAATGGACTATTCAATCACAAGTAGGGAACGGAAAATCAGGACCTATTTACATCTAACACTTACAGTTGCACAAGTCTAAGGCTTACTAGCGACGGAACATCTGTTGCTAAAAATCCATGGATTTTGACTGTCGCTAATACTTGATTTTCAAGTGGTGTATAAACAGCGATCGCCAGAGAATAATATTTCATAATACTCACCATTGAAATTATTTAACTAAAGGTCATTCATGTCAATCCAGATTCACCATATCACACCCCATTGCTCCATGTTTTGATTCACCTCCTCCCATACTCCACACATGACACAACAGTTAGATTGTCGCTTTCAAATATACTGGAGAGTCATTGGTTCAAATCCAGTTGTAGGTAAAACCGACTGCAGCCTTCACAATCTTCTTGCGAACTTCTTCCAACTGATCTGCCCCAATAGGGTGCTCTCCGGTGAGGTAACTACATATCCAAAAGATAAAGGAAGCTGGGAACAATACGGGGATCATTATGATAAACAATGGGATTAAGATCATAAACATAGGTATGAGGATTAGAAAGATAGCCAGCCCAACAATGGAGAGCGAGATGATGTGGCCAGCAAAGATCATGGGCACAACGATCTTGACCAGGTCTTCATAGAACTGCTGGTCGAGGGAGACATGCTGGTCTGAGCCATTGGCAGCCATGGAAGTTTGTGGTTTGTGAGGGGGGGAGGGAGGGTGTATGTATAGTGGTTGGTGGTGGGGCCTCGTTATCGGAGATGGTGAAATTCACGTGAAACATTGTTATATTTCGCAGGGTTTGTATGAAACTCAAGGAAAGTTAGTAGAATAATAAAGGTATAATGTGGTGTCATAAAATGGACAATAGACTAACAAATATCGCCTCTTTTTATTTTTTACTTTATTATTTTTTTTTTACTAATAAACTTGATTTCTCAATGTATATATTATATATGGTAAAATCCTTGATTAAGGATCAAAATTTGTTTCCTTTTTTGAGAGATCAAAATTCAGTAGATAAAGTTGGGTTAACATATTTTCTATATAATTTTTATATTAGGTTTACTAGGTTATAAACCCGAGTAACCTAATGAAAAATTCAAGAAAAATAGACAATAACAAAACCATAAGTATTTGGAAAATTTCAAGATAAAGATCATCCAATAACAAGTAATTTTTAATAACACAGTTTAGAGGGCCATTTTGAACCATCCTTTAACCAACTTCTTTATAGATATTATTTATTTAATTCATTAATAATAAAATATAATTTAAAGAGTAAATTATAGTTTAGTTCCAATGTTTGACACTTGTCTGCAATTTTTATCTAAGTTTTGAAAAATTGATATATGGTCTTTATGGTTTTAAAATGCATCATAGTTAGTCCCTTAGTAAGTTACTGTCAACCCCCTCCGCTACATGTTTTGTAAAAGATGAGATTGCCCTCAAACCAAATTAATAAAACCTATAAATCAAAGGACCCAAATTTTCTAGCTATTCATTTTTGATAAAAAATTTGTATTTTGTTCAAACTTGTACCTAAAAAATATTTCAATCATCTATAACACTCTCAATTTTAAAGACCAACAACAACCTCCCACCATCTCATCTGCCTGGTTATAGACAACTACGTCCTCTACCTCTATAACAACAGACACCACCTCCGTAGCCTAATTTTTCTCGTTTGCCACCCTCTCTCCGCAGTTCCAAAAAGACCAACCAATGCCGCCTCCTTCACCCCTCACCTCTAGTTACCACTCTCGCCTATACCATGCCTCCATCAACAGACACCACCTCCACATATGTATCTTATATTTGTTGTTTCAAGAGCATGTCACCTCAAGATTTAATTCTATGAGACTTAAACATGGTTCAACTCTATTTTGAAGTGATTTCATATAGAATAATCACCATTAAGCCTTCTTGATGGTCTTTTTAATTGTTTGTTGGATGAATAGTGTTCTTGAAATTTTTTTGTAAGTTATTTATATACACATCAAAGTGTTGTTTTTTAATTTTTATAAACTTAATTTGCAATTGTTTAAGAAGTTGTTATTTGTAAGATTTACCATCAAACACCATCCCTCATCCCACAGATTGCACCTTCATAAGGTTGAAAAATAAAATAGAAGATGATTTTCTAAATGACTTACTGGTTTATATTTTGAAAAAAAATTGCAAAAAATATTAATTTAGATATGATTATACAAGAGTTGAAAGACGCAAAAGATCGAAGATTAGTTTAGATATAGTAAATATATTACAAATTCAAACCAAATTATATTTAGTGTAAATTAAAGCTTTGGTTCTTGTGGTTTTGTTAGAATCAAACATTTGATCCAACATTTGAAATGTTCATATGCGGTGTCTTTGTGGTTATAACAAATTATAACGACCGTCCTTCTATTAGACCGCAGGGTATGAGCAACGTCATCCGGCGTTAAGCTGATGTGGCAGCCCCATAACGGCGCCATAACGCGCGTACACCGCCCCACCCCTCCCGTTATTAGCCGTTACGTGATCACTCGTTACCATGGTAACGGGTGGTAACGTGTAATTTTCGACCGTTGCTATCTTTCACCCGTTTAAAAACGGTAAATTCAAAAAAAAATTACTAATTAATTTTTTTTTAAACTATATAAATACATATATACTTCATTCTTTTTACCTACACTCTATTTCTCTATATCTATCTCTATTTCTTTTATCATTCAAACACAAACACAAAAATCAACCCAAAAACAAAAACCAATTATGGATCAAAACCCGAATACTCCTCCTCCAAATACAAACACATCCACTCTAATAGGTTTTGCGGGATACGAGGGCTACATGAACCTTCTCAACTCGCAAAACTCAGCACAACTTCCATATTCCGACAATTTTTTCAATCCCGCCTCACCCTCACTACAATTCTCTACCTCGCCTGTTATGCAACAAAATGCAAACATTCAACAAAACCTTTTAAAACATTTGGTTCCATGCGACAAACAATCACACAACCCTCACCCACGCAAGAAACGGTTATCGAGACGCAAGCCGGGGGGGTAGCCAGAAAGCATCGGGAAAAAAATGGAGATAAAAAAAAGGGAGAGAGGTCGTGGTCGGGGCGGAGCAAACGGAAGCACCTCCAACATGGTGGACACCGGAGGAAGAGCATGCGTTGGCGGTGGCTTGGTGTGGGACTTCAAAACAACCAACTTTGGGGAACGATATGAGGAGAGTTGCTTTTTGGGAAGTCGTGATTGTCAAATTCCGCACAATTTTGAACAAGAATGACACATATCGCAATCATGATATGCTTAGTGGCAAATGGACTCAAATTAGCCAGAAGTGTACCAAATTCAATTCCATCTACAACAAACTTTCTTCGCAACGGCAAAGTGGTGTGAATGAGTTCGATGTGTTTAGAGCTGCGAGGGAGGAATATCACGTGCAAATGGGTCACATATTTGAGCACGAAAAAATTTAGGAGATCGTGAGGAAAGATCCGAATTGGATAAAAACGCCAACATCATCGGAACAACAATCAAAGAGGTATCGTGGTTCGGGTTCGATTGATGTTTCCGACGGACGCACGAACATCGACCTCAACGCGGACACCGATGAACTCCCGGACGAGTTTGACGACATCGAGGAAATCTCTCCGCCACGAAGATCGATAGGGAGCGATAAAGCGAAGCGCGCTCAACGACATGCGGAGGAGAATGAAAGTCGGCTTCGAGAGCACGCGGAAATGAAAAAAAATTGACGCCCACACGGAAATAGAAAATAAAAGATATGAATTGCAACGTCAGCATTTAGAGTTTCTTCGTCATGAAGCCGAGCAAGATCGCATATCGAAGGATTTGACAATTCTTACGACAAAACGAAGAAAATATGCCACCGCGACGAGCTGAAGTGATACGGAGGATGAAGGCAAAGATTGAGAGCAAATACTTAGACGACGAATAGTTTATCGGTGTTTTTTGTTAAATTATCGTGTGTTTTTAGGACTGTTGTGTGTTTTTTGGTCAATTTTTTTTTTTGCTTTGTAATGTTTTTTTTAAGTTTTTAATATATTTTTATTTTACTATTTTAATGAAATTATGTTTTATTAATTTGTATGTTTTTTATAGATATATCACATAAATAAATAAAAATAAAACAAATTAGAAATATATGAAGTAAATAAAAAAGAAATAAAACAAATTAGAATAATAGAAACTAAAAACATCAAAAAAAAATTTAAAAATAGAAAATAGTAGGTGTTATCCCATGTTATTTGGTGTTTCCCATTTCCACATTGGTTGTTATAACACCAAATTGTGACTAGGATAATGAGGTGGACACTTTTGGTGTGGTAACATGTAATAACATATTGTCCACACCTAGTAGTCTTAAACGTAGGGGTGAGCATTTGGACCGGTGGACCGGACCGGACCTGTGAACCGGACCGTAACGGACCATTTTTTGGCCCCCCGGGCCGGTTCTCGGGTTCTAGGAATCCATCAAAACCGGTCCGGTTTTTTCCCGGTCTAGTTCGGTTTTGTAACGCCCGGACTCTGTTACGCATTTATTTACAAATTATTCATGTTTGGAAAGCTACTCGACGAGTTGGAAGCCCCAGACTCGTCGAGTAGAAGTTGGTTTTGGACGCGGGATTTCCGCCACCTACTCGACGAGTCAATAGCCCTTGACTCAGCGAGTAGGCCTAGCAGAGTGAAACCCTAATTTCAGGGTTTTGCACCCTATTTAAGCATCTTAATCCCCACCCTTTGGCTTGATTTACAGCCTCCTTGTCCCAAACCCTAATCCACAAAACCCTAGAGCTTTCCTTAAGTGTTTGAGCCATTTTGAGTGATCTTTGTGCACTTTTGAAGCTTGTGGAAGAAGAAGAATATAGAGGGCTCAAGAGGGAAGGAGTAGATCCAGAAGCTACACTCCATTTTCCACATTTTCTGGTAATCAAGTCTCAAACTTGATCATTCTTTTCTTAGATCTATTTACTTCCATTTTATGAGGGTATTGGTTCAAGAACCTTGGTCTTTGGGATTTGGACGTCCCAAGTGACTTATATTTCAGATCTGGGATCTAGGAGGGGTTCCATGGCATAAAGGTGCAAACTTTATGACCATGGAAGCCCCATGCAAGCTTTTAAGCATTTATATGGCCTTTTTAGCCCTAAGAGGCCATGCATGGAAGGAAAGCTAGGAACTTTACGTGTCCAACTGATGTTCAGAGCCTAGATCTAGTATAGTGTGCCTTGGTTTAGGGTATTATGGCTTGTAGACCAAGATCTATGTTCTAGAGAGTTAGGGTTCTGAGTTAAACCCATTAAGAAGGACTAAGATCGGGTAAAGTTGGAAACTTTACCCTTAAAAGTGTATTCCCAGTGTGTAGATGAAGTTTGGGGCTTGGATCTGAAGGGTAGGAGCTTAATCCATTGAGATGGATCAATCAGACACAGGAACTCGGCGAGTCCATAGAGGGACTCGACGAGTTGATTTGGTTTGTCCCGTTTTAGCTTCAGGTAGAACTCGACGAGTCGGTGAAGGGACTCGACGAGTTAAATTAGTAGATCGCGACTATGAGTAGCCTGGAGACTCGACGAGTCAGGGGGAGACTCAACGAGAGATCGCAATTTCAGGATCTAGGACTCGACGAGTTGATGTTGCAACTCGACGAGGTGGGTCAACCAGAAG